AGTAAAAAAAAACGAAAAAACTAAAGGGTAAGGACCGAACGTACTACGTGTCGTCTACGTTACGTAACGTAACTTAATTACTTTCTTCTTCTCTGTCTCTACGTACTAACGACTACTCTCTCTCTCTCTCTCTCTCTCTCTCTCTCTCTCTCTCTCACTAGGCCAAACGATTCTCTCTCTCTCTAAGCCAAAAAAATCTATCTCTGAGAATCAAAGAAAAACCCCATTTTCAATAATCAATGGAAACCAAAGAACATGTGTGAGAGATGGCGGATGGAGGGCTATCTACGAACTGTGAGCTCTGTGAGATGGTGGAGAGAGAGGTCGAACCTGTGTGAGAGATGGCGGACGGGGGGCTATCTGCGAACCGAGAAGTCTAAGAGATGGCGATGGCAGAGACAGAGCTCGAACCTGAAGATGGCGGCGTAGGACTTGCTTCTGGTATGCGTAATGGAGCTAAGGTTATCAGGCAGGGCTCACAAAAATAAAGTTCCAATTTTGAGTTCCATCCCTCGGGTTGGAACTTTCGTTTTAACGCAAGGCTGGAACTTGCACAGTTCCTTGGAAGTTTTTGTTTTAAGTTCAAAATTTTTATCAAACACAAAACTTTTCAAAACTTCCAGAAAGTTACTTCCCGTTATCAAACACATCCTTAAGGATGAGGTTTGTAAGGTGACGACTTAAACATTCTCGTTATCGTCGCCTAAAAATTTATTTTTTACTCTTATAACGAAATTAAAAGCTTTACAAACCTAGCATATCTATAATTACTCCAAAATCTTGAAAATAGACGGTCAAGATAATATAAATTAAAAGGTCTAACAATAGTGCAAATCTACCATATTTATAATCACTAAAAAATCTTAAGAATGGACGGTCAAGATAATGTGTTATGAGATGGACTAATTTTAGGACTTGAAATTCATTTTCATACTGCTAGAGGACCGGTACAGAACGATTATTTAATTTGGTTCTCCTGATTCAAATTTCTACTTTTCTTTTAAAACCTACACCAAATAATAGGTTTGGTTAGATTTTAAACTGGCCATTATTTTTAACTGGATTTCAATTTTGTTATGTTAGCTAACGCATTAAGTATCTCGCCTGGGGAATACGTTCGCAAGAATGAAACTCAAAGGAATTGACTGGGGCCCACACAAACAGTGGAGCATGTGGTTTAATTCTATACAGAGCGAAGAACCTAACCAGTGCTTGACATGCCGCGAATCCTCTTGAAAGAGATGTGCCTTCGGGAACTCGGACACAGGTGGTGCATAGTTGTCGTCAGCTCGTGCCATTAGGTGTTGGGTTAAGTCCCACAATGAGCGCAACCCTCGTGTTTATTGGAACCCTGAAAAAACTGTCGGTGATAAGCCGGAAGAAGGTGAGGATGATGAATTTTTAACTGACCATTATTTTTAATTCGATTTCAATTTTCCATAGTCAAAGCTACGTGAGGTTTAGGTAGATATTTAGTAGCAATAGTAATAGTAATAGTAGCAGTAGCGAAGTAGCAGCAGCAGGAGCAGCAATAATAATAATAATAATAATAATAATAATAATAACAACAACAACAACAATAATAGTAATAATAATAATATATGGGTAAGGTTTGTATAAGGTTGTCTCTTTATACTATAGAAGTAAGGCGCACTTATAAAATTTCAGGATCGGAAGCCTTACGATGAATTAAAAATATCTTAATATCTTTAATTATAATATTTAAAATTTAAAAAATGATATAGATCAAGCAAATCAAGAAACACTTGAAAATAGATAGTCTAGATAACTCGTTGCAAGATGTGCATTTTTATGGGCTTGGAATTCTTTTCTTTCTTCATGTTCATTCATAGTAAGGTTGAGATGATCAATTGGAGGGTTCTCCGATGTTGGAACACTCTCCACCGTAAGGTTTTTGAGGTGCATCTTACTTTGGCAATACAAGGTTGCAAGCTTATATAAATTTTTTCCATAATATATTACTAGCAGTAGTAGCGATAATAGGAATAATACTGACAAAAAATAACAATAACAACAATAATAATAATAATATATTACTACTACTATTATTAATATCATTTCTAATATATAATAATATATTAGTATTATGCATATTATATTATTATAATACCCACTATTTTATATATATTTATATATAAAAAAAAACACTACGCAACATCTATAGGCGAAAATGAATAATGATTTCGCCTACCCTCATCACCGTCCAAAGTTCATCGTGCGGTCACGATTGTCCGGTAGTGTTTTATTATTTTTTATTTTTTTTCTAAAAATCAGAATGACCTAAAATTTGGAGCTTGTATTCATCAAAAATAGGGAAATCTTCAAAAAATATAAAAAAAATATTTCACATGAAAAAAATTAACCAAAATACCCCCGAAAAGTTTTGGGGGTTATTTAGTCAATTATTTTGCAGATAGTTTTGTTTATATTTTTTATTAGATGCTCCTCAGTAAGATGTATATACTTTCCAAACTTCATGTCATTTTTATTTGTAGAAAAAAAATGAAAAATAAAACACTACCGGACAATCGTGACCACGCGATGAAATTTGGACGGTGATGAGGAAAGGCGAAATCACTATTCATTTTCACCTATAGATGTTGAGAAGAATTTATATATATATATATATATAGTGTGAAGGTATTCTTATCCTTGTTATTATTTGTTACATAGAAAAACATACATTTAATGTGTTTTTTGAGTAAATCAGTAATAATCTATTACATTATATTATATAATATTATATGGATTATTACATTATATTATATTATTATCAGTTATATTATATTTATGTTATCCATGAGTACCCATAATTTCGCCCTTTTTTTTGTTTACACAAAACGTGATTAGGGGTCCTAAAAAATTACCAAACATACGATATATTTTGGGTACGCAAATCCAAATGATCAATTCAAGTTTTCTTTGTTGTTTTATTTATCTTTGAACTTCAAATCCATAATTAATATCTTCTATACTTTTTAGTTTGTGAGATGGTATATTATAGATCGCATTAGTACAAAAAGATTATAATTATTTTTAGTTGTCAAACATAAAATCAGGCGGCTAGATGTGTATCACATTTTTTTTCTTTTTTTTGGCGTTGAACCTGGTCAATGTCACACCCCTCACTCTATTTCACATCTAGTGGCTAGCGATTGTGATATTATTATACCAAAATTAAATACTTATAGTATAATTTCAAGAAAAAATAAACAATTAATTAGGACCCAACTCTATTGAGACCAAATAAATTTTTTTCTTTTAATGTTAAGTTGGTAAATGGTGATAGGGCCCATGGGCTTACTTTTCAGGCTTTGTTTGGGCAATAGAAGAAGGATGGTGGGCCCAGCTAGTCCGGACCAACAAGGCCCGGATTTTTTTTAGTTCCAGCCTTGGCTTGTCCTAGCCCGGCTTGGGCCCAACCCAAAAATATTGTAAACATGTAAAATGCTTTTCACTAATATATAATATATAACTGTTGTCTATTTATATAGAGCCCAGCCCAATTTTTTCTAGGTCAGGCTAGGCTCAGCCCTCAACTCTTTGGTTTTGGGTTAGGATTGGCCCGTACCAAAACTTTCAGCCTGGATCTTACTAGTATATGTTCTGGCCAAAATTGAACCAATCCCAAGCCTATCTTGTTAACCTCTTTCACAAAAATGAAACTCTATATATCATGTGGCGCCTGCCACCCCAATCACCGTTGTGTAAAGAATGGACGAAATAAGGGATTATATACTATAATACCATTTATTTTTAGTGCAATGAAGTCACAATCACTTTTAGTAATGAAAAATCTATCTAATAAATGAAAGTGTATCACGACATTCGAAAAAAAATTTATTTTAGACTTTGTGCTCAAATATCCTCAACCACTCAATTTCAAATCTAACGATCAATGATGATTGTGATCTCCTTATATTAAATGTAAATAGTCTCGTTGTATACATATGAAGCAAAAGCCCTTTTATGGTGACCCTTTTTTTAATTTTTCCCAAACTTCAAAGACTAAATAGGGAATTACCGAAAAGCATAGGTAAGAGAAAATTTTCAAGCTTCAAATTCGATCGCCTGGATATTGAGAAAAAAGGAAACCAAATAATGTTTCCACTCCTTTAATTAAACTAAAGTCCCCCCAAATCTACTTCTGTTTGATTTTTCTAAAATTCTGACGAATTTGGTAACAACAATGTTTGGCACGATTTTTTTATTTAAAAACTACAAATTTAGTGAGATTCTCGTAAGAGGATATTTTGAAAGAGGACAGCTGCCCTTTATATTATACTGAAGCGAAAAATTTGGGTGTTTGAACTAGTTTTTGAGAAAACTCAATGCATCACAGTCTTTCACTCTGAAATTTGTGGATGCTCCTTGCCATCAAAGTTTTTTTTTTTTGTAGTACATGGTTTTTGTAGTTAATGAATACATTCAAGAAAATTAAGGCTTGGGTCCAATAGGAGATAAGTGGATGGAAAATAAACTTAAGCAGATTGGATGTGTGGTCTAAAAGAAAATAGATGAAAGTAATGAAAAGAGATGTAGTGACGACTTATGGTCTGAGTGAGAGTATGACTTTTGAAGTGCAGAACGGCAGAGCAGGATTGTGTAACCAATGCCAAATAGTTGGGATAAGACTCCAATCCTTGAGATAAGTCTCTGATGATAAATGATTATCTTTATAGTTTGTATTTTTCGTAATACTTTTATATTGAAACTTGTGCAATACTGGATATTAGAAGTTTTACTTAGTGTGATTTGTGAAGGTGGGCTCTTCTCTAGAGCAAATAGATTATCTTGTTTGATCCTTGAGACTCTTGATTTCTGTCTATTACTCACAATCCCAAACTAAAAAGCAACAAAATCCTAAACCAATAATTAATCCAACTTTCCAATATACGTGAGCATAGAATAAAGAGAAACAAGCAAAAACCCACACTGCAACATAGTCCTGTGAAGAGAACTAGTACCTTTATTTTTGGACTCATTGAATATCAGTGTGACCTGGAAAAGTACACAAGCACCACATAAACTTCCCAAGATATTTATATAGTTTGAGTAATTTACGTACCGACACAAAATAAATAGAAAAATAAGAAATATGCCACTTTTGGGTGAAAATTACAGAAGGTTGGTCAACTTGTATTTTTATAATAAATAAAGAAATAAAAATTGTCTCTCGGTCCGAGATGTCATAATCATTGGACTACTTTGTACTCTCTTTTTTTTGGTTTAATCTTTTTTCATTTGTTGGGCTCAGTTCTAGAGAAGCCCGAGGATGGGAAGTTGGTTCTAAAGCGGTTCGAGGTTCCCATCCTCAGAGAGCCCTTTTCTTTTACAAAAAAGAAACAAAGAGCCATCCGAGGATGAAAACCTTGACCACTCTAGAACTGAATTGAGCCCTGAGTTCTAGTGGTGGGTCTGATGTCCTCATCTTCAGACCGCTTTAGAACTCAGCCCTACTAACGAAAAAGCTAAAAATAAATAAATTTAAAAAGTGGTTCAAAGATGACATCCTCATACTAAAAGGTAATTTTGAAATAAAAAATGCAGGTTCTCTCTTTTTAAACCAAGACAATGAGAGCGAGGTACTGTGGGGGAGAAAGAGAGAAGCATTTTGTGCTGCATCGTTCTCCAACAGTTGTTCATCGTTCCTTTGCCAATTCCACCACAGAATTTCATATTTGAAGGTGGAGATTTGGGAGAATGAGATCAACCAGGGCCGATATCTTAACAAGTAAAATGTCATATTTCTTCAAGCAAATTGATGAACCTACGTTCAAGCAAAACAATAAAATTACAATAAAATTTCAGGACTCCCCCAACATTGAAATTGCAAGCCATAATTCTTACATGAAAAATAATGAAATTACTACAATATCAACAACTAGTACTAAAAGTGTGTTTTCTTGTACCAATTATAAAAAAGTGTTTTCGGGCACCAACAATCATAGGTACAACAAGTATCAAAAGCGGGAAAAAAGGCTGAGGTCGAGGTGCCAGCACACCCATAACTCAATTGCACGTTGTGGCTTCCATTTGTTGGATATGGTGATATCCAAAATCACTCACATAAGAAAATCTCAAATTATGTAGGTTTGGGATTAATATTGATAAGTTTCTAAAGAAAATAGAAATCGAAAAAGATTAGGACTATTGGTTTTGATATATATATATAACACCTATAGAAAGTTTCCTATTTAATGTGGAATCCTAACCTTATATATATATGGGATGAAAGTGCAAAGAATTAGAGTGTCGTATGTGAGTTACCATATAGAAAAAGTGGCTTCTTCTAAAGAGAGAGGCAGGGCCTCCTGAGCCTTCTATAAATTAAGAGGTGGTTTAACTATGGAATGAAGATGGTCTCGTCCCGAACAGTTTATTCGATTGGGTTTTGTCGAGAGCTATAGAGGCAACTCTGTATCTCAAAATCCGTAATGTAACTTTCATTGGAGAGAAAAGAGCTTCCTATGGAGCGAAACACTACGGATGTACCTTCTGTAAATTGCGAGACTGGTTTCTTGTAGAGAATCAGTTCCTCTCAAGGTTCTCTTGAAAAGTGGTTTAATTGTAGAATAGAGATGGTCTCTTCCTAGACAGTGGTTTAGCTGTGGAATAGAGATGAGAGGTCGACGATGGTGCTGATGGGGAGATTGGGTCTAAAAGAGTTTACTTGACTGGGTTTTGTCGAGAGATATAGAAGTAATTCAATGTCCCAAAATCTGTAATGCAACTTTCATTGGTATAGTGGATTTCAATTTGCCGTATCGGTGGATTAGCCTTTTTGGGGTGAACCACATAAATCTTTGTGTTCATATGGCATGAGTGTTTCGTGCTTTATTTCTCCTACCATGGCTTGTGCTATTGCCTATTTTGTTTCTAACTAATAAGTACACGATTTTGGTAGGATCCAACTTTTGAGCTTTCTATTTCCACATCTAAAAAGATTCTTAAATCCTAACACCATTCTTACTAAGTAATTTAAAACAAGCAGGGTTGTATCATCCTCACTAAAATGCAAAAAAAAAAAAAAAAAAAGTTACATAACATTCACATGCTAAGATACACTTCACACCCAAAAGGTAAAAGCGAATAAATCTCAAATTAAACAACGTTACGAAGCCATGGTCCCATATTTTCATGTGACGATGTACAGTCCAAACAAACGCTCAAGGATAAATTAATGACAGTTATCTATAGGATTATATATTATGAGACCAAAAAATTTCACCACTTTTTTTAGTTATTAAGATTATATATTAAAATGTAGTGTATCATAGTTTTCGAAAAAATTTATTTTGAACTTTGTGCTATGATACTATTCATCTGATTTCACATCCAATGATTGACATGATCTTCTTTTATAAAAAGTAAATGGCTCGCGTTACATATATCTCCTTGTTATAATTGAGTTTTTTTTCTTGACAATCCACTTTCATCATTTGGAAACGATGACACGGATGTATCTTGTTATTGATTTTGAAAAGGTATCTCATAAAGCATCAGCCAATTCTAAACTCTACAGGCCCCATGAAAAGAAAAAAATTCACAACATTACATCTTTATTAGACATTCTAATAAACTGAAACAATATGTTCTTTATCTTTTGGAAACACATCTTTCGCACTATGTTTCTGACTCAGCTGATAAAAAAAAATTTAAATTAAATTCTTCTCTGAACTCTTGTGAGGCGTGGCAAAGATCTCCTATCCCCACTGTACATTCTTCTTGTTGATTTCTTTTCGGATTTTGTTTTTCTCTCTAAAACGCGTCTGTATTTGTCGGGTATTGGCTGCTGGTAAATTTTCAGCTGTCAGTTTCCAAACTATGTTCTCATCCTTTGAGTGTATAATTAAAAGCTTGGAAACATAACTTTTTCAACTGGTGATTCACAGGTCTCAAATCCTTCAACAGTATCAACAAACAACTGAATTCACCTAATTATCATAGTTTGATCAAACAAATGGATGAAGATGATAAAAGACTCTTAATTCACAATCAAATTGCATGTCCTCGCTTCAATCTACCATCAAAAATCACAGAGAGGAAGTTAGTTTTGAAGAAGTTGAGAGGCATGGGCTTCTCTCTCTAGAAAGAAGGCGGATAGAGAGAGAAAGAAGTATTAGGTTTTTTTGGGTTTCCTTAAATGCTTTGAGCGAGAGAGTGATTATTCGTCCAGAGAGACAAAAAAAAGAACCAGGAAAACCAAAGAGAGGGGGAGATCCATGGGTTTTGTGACGTCTACAAAGAAACAATCTCAACCATCTGCTTAGATCCAACGGTTGAGAGAGAGGAGGACTATGACGTGTAAAAATTTTACTTATAAAAGGAAAATGATTTGATAAGGCTTCAACCCTATCAAAATAAGTAAGGCCTCACTTTAAAACTCAAATTACATTACAAGTATTGAAAAACCTTTACATGCGGCTTAAACATTATGGTTGTGAAAAAAATTAGGATTTCAAGATTTAAAAATCCTGCATATTGTAATAAATTATCTAGACCGTCTATTTCGTTTTAAAAATAAATATTCATATATATGTAAGATCTGTACCATTTTTTAAATATAAATTTTTATTATCGGTATTGGAAATTCAGTTTATTTAAAGCCGAGATTCCATAACTCTTTATTTCGTTTTCATAAAGCTTAGGCTTTATAGAAACTTTATCCCCTATAAAATCACCCCCAAAAATCTACTGTTATTTGATTTTTCAAAATCCTCGTGAATTTGGTAAGAACAAGGGTTGACATGATTTTTTTATTTAAAAAAATAGAAATTTAGTAAGATTCTCAGAAAAGAGGATATTTTGCAATGGAAAGCTGCCATAATTCTTATGTTACTTTGAAGCTAAATTTTCGATTGTTTGAACTAGCGAAATTTTTGCAAGTTCTTATTTTCTCACTCTAAATACCAGCAGACGCAGAGCTCTCTCTCTCTCTCTCTCTAAAACTGCAATCTCTCTCTCTCTCTCTTTCTGAAACTGGTATCGGAGATGGGTCGTGCAAAGCTCCCCATGAACAACATCATGGGACGTGCAAATCCAAGAAGTGACACCTTCAGAAAGAGAAGAAAAGGTCTCAAGAAGAAGGCCTCAGAGTTCTCGATTCTCTGTGGCGTAGATACGTGCTTCATATGCTTCGGGCCGAACGGAGATCTCGAGACGTGGCCCGAAGACAGATCCGCCTGCATGGCTGTAATCAAGAGGTTCCAGAGCCTCAGCAAAGATGATCAAGACAAGAAGAAACAGAACCTCTCGAGCTTCTTAACCCAAAGGATCATGAAGGTGCGAGAAGATCTTCTGTGTAAGCGCAAAGAGAATGCGGAAATCCTCTACCCATCATGGGATGATCGTCTCGCCGACTTCTCTTCGGATCGCATCGAAGCTCTAACAAGGCATCTCGACTGGAAGATCTCTACAGTTAGAGAGAGAATCGAACTCGAAATGGCCTCTGTGAGCATCAAGGAAGGGGGAGAGGCTAGGGCACAAAACACGGTTCCATATCCTATGAGAACTTCTGATTTCAGGCCCTTGTGTGTGAAAAAGCCCATGGGCTTGGAAGATAGTTACATAGCAATGGACCCCATTAACCAAATGGGCTTGGGCTTGATGAGTGAGAATTATACAGGCATGGGGGGTGTGGACATGGGTGTTGGGGATTATAGTTTAGGTATGGAGTACATAGGTGCACAACCATTGAGGTGGATGCCCGATGGTGGTAAATTACTGGGTTTTGATGAGAGAGTAAGGAGATTTTCAGCTCCCATGGATAATAAGTTGGGGGTTTTTTATGACAGAGAAGATGTTAAGTTTGTGGATTTTGAAGAGAGAGAAAGGGGGGATAGAGAGAGGAGTATGAAGTTGCCTATGGATGCACCATGCACATATGAACCACAGTTTGCCATGCAAAACCCTAACCCCAATTACACTATTTACCAGGGGTCCTCTTCTACCTCTAATTACACCATTTCTTCAAGCTTGGGCCCTTTCATGCAAGTGCCAAGTCATCATCCAAGGATGCTGCCACATGTGCCCATGACTCAGCCTTTTCTGCCCCGTCAGCAGCAGTGGGTGGGCCTCGAGGAACAGCCAGGAATGGCACACGTGTGTGATGACTTCTATGAGGTGTGATTGCTAAGAAGGATTGGCTGCTCTCTTTTTATCTTATTATTATTATTAATTATTAAGTGGGAAATAATTGTGGGTGCCTCAGGTTTTTCTGCTTTTCTTTTTGGTGGGTTTTAATGGAGGGCCAAGATTTTAGCTTTGCTTTTGTTTGTGTGGGCCTTTAATGGACGGTCAGGATTTAGCTGAGGGTTGGTCGTAGGCTTTGCTTTGTTTGCGTGGGTCTTTTGTTTGTGTGGGCCTTTAATGGACGGTCAGGATTTAGCTGAGGGTTGGTCGTAGGCTTTGCTTTGTTTGCGTGGGCACGGCCAAGATTTAGCCAAGGGTTGGTCGTAGGGTTTATGTTATTTGGACTTTTGGCTTCCTTTTTTTCGAACTTTCAAGTTCTCCTTCTTGAATAAAGAAGTACCTTTCATTCGTGTTTATATAAATCTTGTGTGTTCTATTATGGGTGTAATTTTCGTTTAAGAACGTATCAAATCCGTATCGTTTAAATAAAATAAATGACGTATACTATACTATAATCGTGTAGAAACATAATATATATTTATTCCCTCAATTACAATACATATTTTGTAGGATTTTCTGAATTTTAAATTTTAAGAACCATCTAAGAATCATTATGCTTCAATGTCTTTTATATATATATATATATATATACATATTCTTGTTATTGTTCATAGGCTCTTGCTTATGGCACGTCGTCCAAGAGAGAGAAAGATTTGTAAGGACTTGGTCCACACCTGCTCGACGATGTCTAGTACTATTTATGTGTTTTCTTTTTTGGAATATTTAAGGGTTGAAACCCTTCACAAGAAGGTCAATTGGTCATAATTATGTATTATCATTTAACTTTGATACACGGTTGTCACAATTATTTATAATCATTCGATGTAAAAATTTGAAATTTTTTTTTTTGAAGTTTGTGTTTGAGCAATGGAATAAAAGTAACCTTTCAATTTTATACCTAGTGGTCAAGATTAATTGTGACCACTTTATACCAAGATCTTTTTGTATACTTTTTTTAGAGGTTACTTTCTCTGGTACCTATTTCTAAATTAAAAAAAAGATCTTTTTGTATACTTTTTTTAGAGGTTACTTTCTCTGGTACCTATTTCTAAATTAAAAAAAAAGAACGTGTTTGGTTAGTCGGCCGACTTACACTATTCTTGTGTGTTCTCCCTATCAAATATATCTCAAAGATGTATTTTCAATTTAAAATTTTAGAGTTCAACAAGCTCAACCATGACAATGATCTAAATTTGAAATTATTTTTTTTAAAAAAAAGAATGTTATTTCCTTTCTTCACCCTCCATTTTAAACTTTTGGTAGATGAACATTTTTTATCATCCATCTCAGAGATAGACCTTAATAGATACGGGACAGATAATAGGTGAGTCGGCAACTTACCAAAACCGTGTTCTTTAAAAAGTTGCCTTTGTCAAGGATTAGGAACAGGGGCATTGGATTGGGTTCCACGGGAGAAATTTAAATTATTTTAGGAGGTACAAATGAAAGCCAAATGGTAAACCCTAAGTCCTTTAAGCCCTAGGCGATTTTTTAAAGGGATTATGACGCTTTTAGCATATATTTCCTTCTTTGTTTTGTTTATCCATGTATTTGAAACCAACGCCATTTATTTTAGCAAAATAAAAAAAGATTATCTACATTAAGTGGGTGGTTGTAAAAGTGTTAGAGAATATGCACAAAATTTCAACAAAAAAAAAAAAAAAAAAAAAAAAAAAAAAAAAAAAAAAAAAACAATGATGATTGTTATTAGGTTTGAATTATTCTTAATAGTTAGAATAATAGTTAATAGGTTTGAATTGCATAACCCATCGAACTAGGGGTCCTCAATAGTTATTAGGTTTAAATTAAATTTATTATTTTGACCTCGCTCTCCCGATTAAAACCTTCCCCTTTCAATCTCCTGCCTTTTTCACTCTCTACACCATAGCAATCATCCATGGTGATGGTCTTTTATCATTGCCGCATTGGTGTTCCAAAACCAGGAGCGATGAAATCTTGGGGAAGAGGTTTTAACATTCTATGCAATAGGTTTTTTTTCTTGTACATGGAGAAGAAAAGAGAGGGCAAACATAGCAGCAGGGGTCTGGCCTTTTTTTTTTTTCTTTTTTTGGGTACCAAGTAAGGGAGTATACGAATACTTGAAACTAAAAACCACCAATGATGTTTATGCATCAATAAATTAACCACCAATGATGTTTATGAATCAATAAATTGGGCTGGTTTTTGGGATATTGCTAATGCAAAACCAAAGCATGTTTGAAAAGAGAAGGAAGAGGCCGCTGAGAAAGAAAAGCAAGACGGATATACAAAAGGGGCTCGTAAGTCTCTTTGCTTGTGTATTTCAAGGCTTCGCTTTGCAATCAAGTTTTCATGCTATTTAGAGAGAGAAAGAGAGCAAGTGGGAGAAGAGAGTTTGGAGAAAAAGAGATAACGAGAATATTTAGAGAGAGATGGCAAGTGGGAGGAGATAGTTTAGAGAAGAAGAGATGCAAAGAAAAACGCGATGATTGTGGTTTTTTTTTTTTTTGTTGGGCAGGCTTTTTTCGTTTCCTCTGCAAAATAAAACTTATATCCTTCCTCTACGTTTCCTCGGCAAAATAAAACTTATATACTTCCTCTAATCCAACCGTCCTTTCTAAATGGAGAGTTAAGGTTGTCCCAAACACAATATCACATCTCTAGACTATTTTATTTTTAATATTTTTTATATAAACTATTTTGACACCAAATTTTGAACGTCCAATCCTCTATTAAACTTGCACTCATAAATATATATATATAAATATATTCCTACTAAAATAAAATAACCAAAATACCCTTGAAAGCTTCAAATGGTGTTTTAATATAAACTTTGGTGTGCAATGTGCTTGAATATGTTATCTGCTTGTTGTTTGTTGTTCCATGTTGTTGTTGTTATTCATATATACATGTTTATATTTATGCACATCTATATTGATATCAGAGCTATGTGATTGAGCGTAGTTCTTAAAAGTTTACTTTGTTGACTGGGTTAATCTATAACTCATACTGATATTAGTATGCTCTGCGACTGCCTAGTTGATCTAGGATCTCTCGCATCAGAAAACATAGTATGAATTAAAGGTTAACTACTAGTGTTGATGATATTCCATTGTCAATACTTTCTTAATGTTAACATAACAGGAGCTTTGTTGAAGGCGAGAAGGGCGTATTTGGAGTTCATATTTTGTTAATCAGAAAAAGAAAGTTGGCCTTAACCTTTTCTCAAAAATTTTACAGTCAACACTGTAGCTGATTTCAAAATGTCAGAAGAAAATGTCTCGGATATCTCTTTAGATAGTGCCTCTTCTTTTAACTCAGACTCAAGACCATGTTTTCTAAACAAAAACATCTTTTTGAAATAACCTATACTCCTGAAAAAAATTTTGAAACTAGTTCTCAATTAATTAATCCTTATCATGTTTATGATAGGTCTAGGTTAAATTGGACCAAAAAAATAAAAAAACTTTGTGGAAAAAAGAATCTTGAAGCCATCAAAGAATATGTTCAAGCTTCTTCTTTTGATCAACATCAAATCCCTGCTACCCAAGCTAAGTAATACATAACCATCACCTTGCATAGAAACCTTTTTTTCCAATGGCTTAAAGATGGGTATACACATATTCATTTTGGAGCCATTAAATTAGCTTTAACCTTTCATGAAAGAAAAGGTATGGAGGCAATTTCCCGAATTGCTTTGTTAGATTCCAGATTTTTAGAATACCAGCATGCTTGCATAAGAATTGTACAAACAACCTTAAATGCTGGCACCATTTTGTTACCTTCTTCCCAAACTTTAACATCCCAATTAAAGACCCCCATTTGAGTTCTGCTTTTAAAGTTCAATTACAAATTACAAGAATCAGACAAATTGAAACAGCCACTGTAGCTACACTCTATTATCAAATGGTGTATAGACTGCAGAACCATGCTTTTGATATAGTAACCCCTTTTGTCCCCAGAACATAAAAATACTGCCTTGTTCATTAAAGTTGATAACAATTTCCAACCTGTCTGTCATTACATCCCTAGACAAATATCTTGAGAAAGATTGCTCGAGTTGATACCATCTACATGGGTGACAAATTATGAAAATTTTCAAAATCAAAGTCAGCCAGTGATGCAATTAGATTCTAGAAGGACAAGAATGCCTGATGGAACAGTACAAATAAGTTTTCAAACTCCAAGACCTATTGAAAATCAAACCAGAGAAATTTTCCCTACCCAATTTCAGGAACTTCTTGAAAAAGTTCCAGTGGTTGCATTTGATAAAACAGGGAAACCTATTTATGAACAGAAGACTTCTGATGGTCATAATTGGTTTGATAGTTGCAGTTGTTCCACTTGTCTTCAAGATGATTTTGATGATATACCAAAAAGGAGAAATAAAAAGAAGATATCATCTCAACAAAAACTTCATTAGAGATTCATTGAAGGTGATCCAACAGTTGGATTACTTGGTGAAAGCTCAAGAAAATGGGATTATTATGTGACTTATGGTAGTCAAAATTCCAAGAACACTGTTGTCCTAGAAATCGTCCCAACAGGATGGAATGACTCAGATGAAAGATCTGAAAGAAAAATTCAAATTCCAGAATACTTAGCCTTTGACCCTCAAAGTCCAAGTTATGCCTCTAATTTTCCTCTATTACATGATTATGAAAAAATTCAAGAAAATAAAAAACATGTATGGAAGATAAAAAATCTCACAGCTAGAGATTCTTCTGGATTGTTAAAAACTATATCTCCAGCAGAAGCAAGCCTCAATTGGCAAGCTGATAATGCTAAATCACAAAATTTAGCATTACTCAGGATTGAAGAAAAACAAAATGTGATGAATTCGTAGTTACAGGGATTAGTTGGTATAATTATTCAGTTGAAAGAAAGGATTCAATCTTTGCATGAAGAATTGATGCAGATCTTGTATACAGTCAAAGATATTCATGAGCAATCTTATT